GTGTCAAAGATGCTGGAAAGCTTATATTTCAGAAGCGAAGCTTTTGGCTCACGGACAGGATAGCGCCTGCATCAAGAGGGCGACCCCAACCAAGTACTGGATTACCAGGGATCAGCAGGTCGAGATTAAATCGCTCCGGTTCATGGGCAACAGCGAAGAGAATTGGTACCACCTCTTTAGCCTGCTTCTTCCCGAGGTGCCAGAGCACGGCGTTGGAGGATATCGCAGCCTGTCACCGTGTAAGTGGCGATCAAATGTGCCTAGTGGCTGAGTTAGCATAATCGCTGACTCGAATATAGATTTTGCGATGCCCAATGCCGGCCCGCTGACTCCATCAGCATCCTTGTCATCAGTAACTCCGTCAACATCATTTTCTTCAGGTTATCAATTGGCTGCAGGAAACAGCACTCGAGGCTCCGAGCCACCATCACTTCCTAGAGAGACGCTCGCTGGTCCTCCAGCTTTCTTGTACGTGCATGTGAAAAAGCCCGTAACCTACGTCAACTACTAACTGACTGTTTCAGTCCGTCGGGTGAGGCAATTCCGGATTTTAACATCACTCCGATTTCCATCAACGACGAATTGGGGGAACTAGACGCTACACTGCCTTTCAACGTCCCGGATTTCCTCGAGGCTACTGATTCACCAGCAGACAACAACCACAACCAGATTACCTGGCCTATGGAACGAGACAACCAGGATGAGTACGAACCGCCGATCATTGGAATCGACCGAGGTGGCCTGGAGCACACCACGACCGCCGATCTGCAGGAGAGCCAGGCAATTGGCATGCATGATGTTAATTTGCAAGCGAGAGCTGTCAATTCCACGAGACTCCGGTCCACCGAGTTTCTCATATTGGATAACCAACGCCTAGCGAGAAGTATGGGGCAACTGCGAGAGCAAAACACGCGACTTCGTGGAGAGGTGGGGATGCTCCGCGGGCAGGTCGAGACACTGCAAGCAAGACTTGGCCCTCTTGAGCAGCAGCTCGAGGCGGTGCTGTATCATCCCCAGACTCAGGCCGAGGTCTTTGGGGAGATACTTGCCGCCATGAACACACTGGCCAATATCAACGAGGCTTTGAGTTAGTATCTATGCCCGGCTTCGGGCGTCCACTACCTCTCCAAGTGTTCCCCCAGCACTGGATAATATTGATCTGCGTCTTTCAGCAACGATTCACCAGTCTTCTTGTCATCCGAACACGGTGGGAATAAAGCGTGAGGAAATTGGAAAGGAAACTGCGCGTTCTCGATATAGTTCTGACCCCGCAACTATCATTTCATATTTTGGCACGAATTGGAGCACGGCTTCCCAAACAAGCAGAACGCGTGGCTGGGCCAGGCTCTAAAATCTTTATCAGCTCACGTTTTGATCCTGGCGCCATTTTGCTCTTCTTTTCTGCGCACTCGTCTTGACATTTTAGTTGTTGTCGAGGTTCCTTTACGCTTGGTAGGAAGGGGGATTGCACCGAGTGCCGTCGCCGAGGACCACCGTTAATAAGGGGTGCCAGGTGGTGTTGCATTTCGTGGCAGACAAAAATGAGCTTCCTCTCCTTTCGGCTACGGTCAAGTTGCTGAATGTTGGCTGGTCTGTTCGGAGCAGATATCAGTCTGATATCTATCCTCTAAATTAACACACGTTTCGCCTCACACTTCAGTGACGTTCAGGATGAACTTGAAACTTTGAACTCTTTTGGTGAATTATAATACAACTGACAACCGAAAACAACAACCGCAGCCGCAACGCCCAGTTAGTCCGTAAACTCCGGCCCTTATCTGCATCATCTCACATAATTTGCGCCAAAACTGCATTTCCCATCTTCTTCAAGTTCACACTCGTATGATCACATCACACTACCCGATCAACACGCTCATCTCTCGACTCACGCGGGAGGTCAGTCGAATGCTTGGCCGCCAGCTTCTCATCATCCACGGCCCTGCTCGGACGACTGCTCGACACCTGGGTACGCTCATCGTCATCTGCACCTGCACCGCCGAAAAACTTCTCGTCGCGCTTCATGCGCGTGGTGTAGCCGGCAGGCATCCACTTGGCCGACGTCCACGGCTTGATCTCGGGTTGCGAGTACATGTAGTCGACGTTCTCGAGGCTCAAGCTGACCGACTCGTACAGGAAGAAGTAGACGATCAGGGCGGCGGCGATGTTGGTCGCCACGAAGACGAAGCCGTACGAGTAGTGGATCCCGGCCGTGGCGAGAGGGGTGAGGAAGGATATCATGACTGAGACACGGCAAAGTCAGCATCTTGCGGATTTAAAGAAAGGGTAGGGGTTATGCATACAGTTTCCAAGCCAGTTGCCCGACGTGGCGAGCGACGCCTGCTTGGCGCGGGTGCGCAGCGGGAAGGTCTCGCCGATGACGACCCAGCAGATCGGGCCCCAGGTTGACGCGAACGAGGCGATGAACATGGCGGCGGCAACAATCATCACAATGCCCGAGGCCTTGCTGTTGGCCGGGTCGACGGCTGTTCCCATGGCGGCGAAAACGGCGAGCCACGCGGCCTGCCAGATCGCGCCAATGAACAGCGGCATGCGGCGGCCATAGCGCTCCACCACGTACAGGCCGTAGAAGGTCATGACGACGTTGATGGTACCGAGGATGAGCTGTGTGCGGATGGGGTCATCGATGCCGGCCGACTGGAAGATGGTCGCGCCGTAGTAGAAGAAGTAGTTGACGCCAGTCCACTGCTGCAGAAACTGCAGGGCGACACCCAAAAGAGTCCGGTAGACTTGTTTCGGAACACCGTTCTTCTTGGGGATGATGCACTCCTTCCAGGTGCCGACCGCCACAGAACGCTCCTTCTCGAGGATCTCTCGCATCTCCTTCATGTCGTCCTCGACGAGGTTGTGCTTGTGGTCATGCTTGAGGCCGCGCAGCCGGGCCATGGACATGCGCGCGCCGTCCCAGTCGCCCCGGCCGGCGAGCCAGCGCGGTGATTCGGGAACGAAAAACACACCCAGACCAAGAGGGGTGGCGAACAGGATACCTAGGCCAACGACGATGCGCCACGACGAGGGAGAGTCCTCGATGGCGCGCACGCCAAAGTTGACAATGTTGGAGATCAGAATACCAAAGGTGATCATGAGCTGGTACGTCGCCACCACGGCGCCGCGGATCTCTCGCGGGGAGCACTCGGACTGGAACATGGGCACGCCCACGCTGAGGATGCCGATCCCCAAGCCGGCCACGAAGCGGCCCATCATCATGTGCACCCATGAATTGACCGCCGTGATCTGGATCACGCTGCCGATGACAAAAATGGCAGCGCCGAAGCTGAGGTTCTTTCGTCGGCCCCAAAAGTCCGATGTGCTGTTCACAATACCAGGTCAGCCTCCATATACCCTTTCAATCCTAAATAATCCCACAACTGATCTGGAGTTTGTAAAGGAGGAAAACGTACTAAGACGAGCACAGCGCGCCAATCAGCGTGCCAATACTCATGAGCGAGACCACCAGCGACTGGATAATAGGCTCGAAATCTTTGCCGCCAGAGCCGTCGTCGACCTGTCCGAAACGGTTCTTGAAGTCGGAGAACAGCAGCATGCCCGAGATCTGGCCCGTGTCGTAACCGAACAGAAACCCGCCGATGGAGCTGATGGCCCCGAGGAGCAGGGCCTCGACGCCGCAGTCGGCGCCATGGATGCGGATGGATCTGTGTTGTTGTGGATTAGCAACGTGCTGATGATCTGGATGACCGTGAAGTGGTGATGGGGGTGATGTTTACTTTTTACCGAGCACCATGTCGGCGGTGTTATTCGAAGCTCAATTATTAGTGCGTGTCGATCTTCCGTGCGTGATGAAGATGAGGAAGGAAATCCGGGGTAACAATCATTTCGCAAAGAATAAAGTCGTCCGTCAGTCTGGTTTTAAATACATCCATTATTCCCTATTATGTGATCCGATCTGGGGGAGGATTGGCGCCGATGATGTCACAGGGCGTTTCCACGGTGAAGGGCTCTCACTCCCACTCTCCCTGCATTAGGTATGGCCTCTTACCGCCTCTTCTTTTCCCCGAGGGGATTTCCCCAGGTTTTTTTTGGGGACTGTCAGCGGCTTTGTTTGCCGGGGGGTGCCCCTTACGTCACAGCACAGGCTGCCCATTGGCGCTCCAGCCAGCTGTGCCGCGACGGAAAACAAGCCGCGCCTGGGTGCCAAACGAGATCCCGTCCGCCAGTGACGCTACCATACTTCAAGTTTTCCAATGGGGCTCTCGATGAAGGGTCAGCCGACGTGATGCTTATTTTTGGGGGGTTGTGCGGCTTTGTTGCGATGAAGATGCCATGGCTTTTGTGTTTTGCATCGTGATGGCACGAGGGTTAGGGTTATATGCAGTTTGCTGTTCTGGCCGGGAACTCCGACCCCTGCTGCGCTGCTGCAAGTCTGGCTGACAATATTGGCACTTGAACCAAAAGCGATTTCTTGTCGTATGTTTTGGGGGTTGGATGTCATGAACATGCCACTTTGCTCCCAAGTTTCTTTCTCTTTTACCATGCTCTTGTCCCGAGAGGTGTCGGTGGCTGACAGCAGTGGTATCATAATTGCGCGCGTGCATGACGCTATCGAACCGCTGCAGCATCATGCGGCGTCTTGTGTCTTTCATGTAATCGAGGGTGTGTTTGAAGAATATCGGTTATTACGAGGGAGTTTCCCAGTGTGTTGTAAATGCCATGTGGTGGCACTTGTGGGTCCTTTCCTGAACATCTGGTAGCAACTTGTTTCATTGGGGGTTTTTCGACATTGCTGCATCGTGCAAGATCTCAATATTACGCATAAATTGAAACGTGCTTTTCTGGACTTTACACTACATTACTTCAGCTGGCGACAGGCTTCGGACAGCTTAATTCCCATTTGTCTCTTGCGGCTCCACCAAGTCCGACCAATTAACCCCTGGTGCCCACATCTGGATGCAGGACAGCTGCCCCCACCGATACTGGGATAAAACCTCCAACTCCGCGCATGATTTCATCAAAAGCCGACTCACGGTCGGGTGGCGCAATGGTAGCGCGCGGTCTTCCGGTCACGTGATTCTGTCACAACGCTCAGCTGGCCGAGGCTCAGGGTTCGAGTCCCTGCTCGATCGATTCTTTTTTGCATTTTCTTTTCCATCTTACGTGCACTGTCCTGAAATTGGCTTGCTTGCTTGACCAGATTGTTAAGTTACATCAACTCCAATTTCTTTTTCGTACTGATCACGAGTGTTTGTGTATCGTGACTTGGATCACATGCACTCTGACAATCCCAACTATTTTAGTGCCATAAACTGAGATTGCAGATACAAATGATATGGACGCTGAAAGTTCTTCGCTCTCCATCCATAAGAGCAACGGTCATCTATAGTGAGATACGAAGGGCAAAGTTCCAACATACAACAAACGAGATTGAAAGTTCCTGTTGACAAAGACCCATAGTAGACCTTCGGGCACAAAATTCGGCGATGCTGCCCAATCGGATGACAAACTACCTATTGATTTCATCAACAATAAGTCACATGCCCGGGCGCATTTATGGCACGTTTTATTTCGCTTCCATCATGCTGCCCCCAAATGCAAACAGGCCGCCATTGCACCCGACAAGGCGACCAATGGGGCGATTTCCATCCCCCCTTGGCACATCTGGGCCGTGATTTGCGGCCCAGGCTTCACTTACCGGCCCAGGGTGGAGTGTCAATGATTGGCAGAGTATAGTGCAGCCCCCATTTTCAGGAGTCGTTCTTGGTCTGACATAAGACAGGCAACTTATTAATTCGAACGAAGAGGGTGGCTGTTTAAAAGGGGGGAACCCGAACAAATGGCGCGGGAGCATGAAGGTTCATTTGTCCTGTTCCATCCTATCCACCTTCGTTCCATCCATTGTGGCCGCCTGGAAGTGGGTGTGCTGAGTCTGATGCTTTCTTCCACTTGGGTTTCATGCATCTCACGTCTTCTATCATCTTCTCGACGCCCAATGTGCCATCTCACACCTGACCAGCGATGGCGGCCTTCAGTTTGCCGCGGGTATTCTGTTGTCGTCTACCGGCGGTGACTATCTCGGCCGAATCAGCGATGATCATCTTTCTTCTGATGCAGTTACATACTGCTGCCGCCCTCGTCTTCTTGAACAGCGGGAAGTATGAGCCGCCAAGGGGTAACCCAATTCCTATCTTGTGGAAAGATGCCGTGAATCCTGTCACAATTACGCTCTGCACTGATACTGGTGGGGGAACTCCTCTTGAGAAGATTCTTGTCGTGGTCAGCAACTATGACGGCCGGCCGGACAACAAGATCTATTGGACACCCCCAGCCATCGACTTCCCAAGGGACCACTACGAGTTTCAGATAGTGGAGGGGACAAAAACCGACTACACTCCGGCTTTCACAATTCCTCCACTTCCACCATCGCCACCGTCATCCAAGACAAGTACTTCAAAACTTCCTCAACAGGTAAAAGCTGTCTGATTCTCGTAGACGATGCTTTGCTAACAAGTCACGCTGCATTACCCAGGCCACAACTACAGTTATCCCGCCTGCGAGCACAGTTCAAGGACCGCCGGTGACTATCACTGTTATTCCCAGTCCTAAAATCTCAGAAACACAAACTCCAAGTTCATCACCTCTGCCAATAACAACAAGCAGCCCACAACTCACTGAAAATCCATCATCTGGTTCATCCAGCAACCCTGGCAGCCAGACCACTAGCACCAGCTCCACCAACACAATCAAGACCAACGCGAGTGAGTCGAAACCCACTACCAGTAACACCACGGCTACCACAAACGCCTCAACTACAAACTCAACAACCACAGCACCAATACCGCCAAATGGAACCGAGCCACCCACACAGACTCTCAACATGGATGGAGGGCCGGGCACCGGACTCAGCACTGCCTTGAAAGCATCAATCGGAGCAGCGGCAGGTGTGTTAACCGTTATCTCGATGGGATTTCTGAGCTGCATAATCTACCGACAGCGTAAAAAGTCCGGAATTAATATGGTTCACGAGTTGTACGATTCATCCTCACCGTCATCATCCATCTTCCCCATTACCAAGCGAGGTCTTCGCGTCCGCTCACCGCTCGCCGAATTACCACCCGAAATCGACGCCAAGGAATTATGGAACGGCGTCGACAATATGCGCAGTCTGCCCGTCGCCTACCATCCCACCACCACTGCCGCATTCACAGCAGCCCGCGCGGCCAGCATCAGCCGCAGCATCAGGGCAGCCAGGGCCGCAGGAGCCCGAACACCATCGGCAATTCAAGATGATTGGTGGAACGAAACGGCGTGGGACCAAGCCTCGTCACGGACGCAAGACTCGGCAAGTCAGTACTCGGTACATGTCCACAACAGCCACGCGGTACCGACAATGGAAATCATTGCCGAGCTGAGCACGGAGCCACCTGATCGGGATAAGGAGGATCTGGCTGCCAAAAGGGAGCACGCGAGGAGAAGGCAGAAGGCTGACGTCAAGGGGAGTACATCGTATTGATTTTGCAAGCAGTTCAAGGACAAGAGAACATACATATATAAGACATCACTTATGGTTGGGGCTGATATATGAGCTGCCGGCATTCAGCGGGTTAAGATACATGTTTTCCTTTTGTTCAGGTTGATGTGTATGCATTTTTAATGATCGCCATTTGTACAAGTTTCAGTTCAAGTTAGATTTACAGCCAAAGCAATTAAAATGGCATCAACAACTAATGTTGTCTTAAGAGAGTGATGGGCTCAGGGGGACCAGGTGTCAATGGCACCCACGTCATTTATCTCAGATTTCATGTCTTTTTTCTTGGTGCATCATAACATTTCATCCGCGAAAACAAACGGCATCTCCCAAAGCGTGTAACATGAGCGATTCCTGCCAAGCACCAATGGAAACCCGCATACACCAAGCTGCAATCAAGAACATCGCGACGACCATCAGGTTAGATGTGATTACAGTGGTGGCGTTGAGGCTGTCAGTTCTTCCAGTGGCATTTAAGGCCACGGCAAGAGATTCGGCTTCTTTGAGCGCTTCAAGAGATCAAAAATTTCGATATCCGACTCCAAGTCATGGAAGTTCGCACAGGGAGCCAAATGAGATTTAGCGGGGTGTCGCGTGCGCAACAAATGCACCAGGCTTCGAGAATGGCATCGGAAGTCCTATGTGACAAGCTCATTAATACCGGAGCCTTGTCTTCGAAAATGTGACGAGCTGACTTTGAGGCTTTCGCGGCTGCATGGGCTTGCGCTGTCAGCGACTAGTTGGGGTGATGATGTGTCAATGTGGTCCAGCCCCTCAAATGTTTTCTGTAAAGTGTCGGGATAAGGACGCCTCACTTAAGCTAGGACACGGAGCTTACCGAATCGCGTCGACCAACCATCTCCTTCAATGGCCATGAGTCGGTGTGATGAATTCCACTTTGAGGGGCTAAGTCGAAGTCCCTACATTCATCAGGTACTTGTATTGAAAATGGCGATGGTCTAGAACGGCCTTTCGACTGACTACTTGTCTCTAGGTTGCGGGTTGGATTCAGCTTGCTAGTACAGCAACAACTTGCTTTTACACATCAGGCTTCAACCTTGGCCATGATGATTTGGGCCGGTTTTATCCTTGACCAGGCTCTTCTACACCAGGTCCCCGCATACACTAATACTCAGAAACGTAACAACATTCAGACACTTACGCGGCCCCAGCCAGGTTCTAGTTAGTGATAAAAATGACAGCGCTCGGGGCCTATCGTGTCTTTCAAGTGCTTTTTATGGGCCTATCAAGTGAGTGGCTAGTTGTAGGCTTTCAGCTGAGATTCACAGCCCTCGGAAAAATCAAAAAAGCTTGGCAGTTCCACAGCAGCATGGCGGCCATTAGGTGTGAACGCGTCCTCGACTGCCAGCCACTAGCCCAATACTCCGCGATATGGCAGCACCATGTGGCTTCGAAGCCAAGACAACCGGCTGAGAAAAGGCCGAGTGGTTGCCCATTGAGGCCGCCAGTGAAGAGGTTACATAAAAGACGGAGGCTTTCCAGTCTTTGCCAACGGGACAAAGCGTCAACCAGCTCACCGCCATCCTTCAACTTCAAAGACGCAAGAGCATTAAACCTCACTTTCATCCAACATGATGAAAACAACTACATGTAGTTCCATTATCACAATGATCCTCATATCCCTCGCCTATCTCGGCGTTGTCTTCGCGCTTCCCCATCCCGAGCCCGCAGACGCAGCCATTACACCCGCCCCACAGGTTTTAGTTAAGCGCGGTGAAATTGTTGGTTATGTAGCGGTTAGCGGCAACAGTACGTCACCTATGCCTGCCTCCAACTAATGTTATGCCTTTATTTTCATTCATCTCTCGTTTGAGCAAAAAAAGACTCACCTATCTTACAAAGTCCTTACTCTAACCTGTCCGGGAACTTTTCGCGTCTACATTTCTGGACGAATCATGATTTGCGATGATCCAGCGTCTATCCGCTACCGCACCGCTGCCAAAACTGCTTGCCAAGGGAGGACCCTGTTAGGGAACGATGGTTCAAGGTTTGACTGGTACGCAAGAGAAAGTCAACTTAATTTTCCGTGAAGGACTTCATCGAGTCAAGCTAATGTGGACCCTGGGCAGTGGGGTTGGATTCTTGTGTAGAGTAGATACGGTTCTCCGGACTGCTGGCGACCCGAGTCCATTCTTCCACCCCGGTTGTCGCGACGATGGAATCACGAACCCACTGACCATTTACCGTACTTTTCCCGCCGGTGGGCTTGCTCCAACGCGTAAGTATAGTTCACCCGATGCTGTTTTTTTCCTTCTCATGAGTTTGGTAAGGTACCAGTGGTAGCTGACAAATATGTGCGTGATAGCTACCGCGAATCCAGCCCCTGGACCTACCGCCAATCCTGTCGCACCAGCTCCTACCGGCACCACTAATGATTTAGGGTTGAGCTCAATTCTCGACCTGTTATCCAGCCGTACGGCCGCCGCACCTGCCTCCACCTCGAGCTCAGGGGCTGAGACCGAGGCATTCTTGGGGCCCGCAGCTACCCTTGCCGCTGCCTTTATGGCTTATTGGCTGGCTTAGCAGTTTGCGCGACTTAGGGACGGCGGCGGGTTCATGTTATGCTGGACTCTTTGTCGC